TATCTTGTTGATTTTCTCAAAGAAACAACTCTGTGTTACATTGATTCTTTGAATTTTTTTTCTTTTTGTATGGAATGTTCTATAGATATCTGTTAATCCTAATTGGGTTCATAACTTCTGGTAGTTCCTTTGTGTCTTTGTTATGTTTCTGTCTTGGTGGTCCTGTCCATTGGGGAGATTGGCTTTTGATGTCTCCCACTCAACTGTTTGAGGTCTTATGTGGGATTTGATATTTAAAGTTTCTTTTAAGAATGTGGGTGCCTTTGTTTTGGGGGCATAGATGTTTAGAAGTGAGACTTCTTCCTGATGGATTTTTCCTGTGATGAATATTAAATGATCTTCTTCATCTCTTTTGATTGATTTTAGTTTAAAGTCTAATTTTTTAGATAGTAGGATAGCTAACTCAGTTTTTTTCTTAGAATTAGATTAGAATAACTTATCCCAACCCTTTACTCTGAGGTAATGTCTGTCTTTGAAGTTGAGGTGTGCTTCTTGTATGCAATAGAAGGATGTATTCTGTCTTGGTATCCACTCTGTTAGCCTGTGTCTTTTTATTGGCGAGTTAAGACCATTAATATTGAGGGAAATTAAGAACCATTGAGTGCTTATACTTGTTTGCTTTGATTTGTTGTTGGTGGTGGTATTGTATGTGGATTTACGCTGATTTTTCTTTTGGCTTTTCATAAAGTGGGATTATTTATTGCCTATGTTTTTGTAAGTGTAGTTAAATTCCTTAGGCTCGGGTTTACTTTCCAGTACTTTCTGTAAGCCTGGATTAGTGGCTATGTATTGTTTAAGTCTGTTTTTTGTGGAATATTTTGTTTCCTCCATTTATAGTGATTGAATACTTTGCTGGGTATAGTAGTCTGGGCTGGCCTCTCTGGTCTCTCAGTATAGAAAATCTATCCAGGACCTTATGTCTTTCAGAGTTTCCATGGAGAAATCAGGTGTAATTCTGATAGATTTGCATTTATATGTTAATTGGCCTTTTTCCTTTGCTGCTCTTAATATTCTTTCTTTATTGTGTATGTTTGGTGTTTTAATTATTATGTGAAGGGGAGACTTTCTTGTGGTCCATTCTATTTGGTGTTCTTTAGGCTTCTTTTACTTTCATTGGCATGTCTTTTTTGTTGGGAAAGTTTTCTTCTATGATTTTGTTGAATATGTTTTCTGCACCTTTGAGCTGGGTTTCTTCACCTTCTTCTATTACCTATTATTGGTCTTTTCACAGTGTCCCATATTTCCTAGATATTTTGTGTTAGGGATTTGCTGGACTTAAGATTTTCTTTGGTAGATGAATCTATTTCTCTTGGTGTATCTTCAATGTCTGAGATTTTCTTTTCCATATGCTATATTCTGTTGGTTATACTTGCATCTGTAGTTCCTGATAGTTTACCCATATTTTCTAATTCCAGCATTCCCTCAGACTTTGTTTTTTATTGTCTCTATCTCTGATTTAAAACCTTGCATTATTTGAATGGTTTCTTGCAATTTTTGGTTTGTCTTTTTCCATTTATTTCAAGGATTTTCTCATTTCCTCTTTTATGGTTTCTATCTCTGCAACAAGTAGTTTTTAATGTTGCTCTCTTCTGCTTCATCTGTGCTGGGATGTTCAGGTCTTGGTGGCATAGAGTCCCTAGACTCTGATTGTGTCATGTTGGCTTTTCTGTTGTTTGATGTGTTCTTGTATTGTTGTCTTCCCATCTCTTCTTCCAGTGGGTGCAAGTGGTATCTCTTCCTCTCTTGGTGTGTGTGTGTGTGTGTGTGTGTGTGTGTGTGTGTGTGTGTGTGTGTGTCCATGGTTCTCTTCTAGTAGATGCAGGTCTCAAGATGGGTACAAGTGTGTCTGTGGCACTTGCCTTTCTAGGTGCATGGGAGTGGGACTAGCACAGAGATGTCAGCAGTCTCTGGGTTTCTTGGTCCTTAGGAGCCAAGTCAACCTGCTTGCAGACCCCAGAACAGGAGTTCCCAGAGTCTGCAGGTGGTTGTTGGGCCCAAGACAGGGCCCCAACCAGATCACCTCTGCCCTGCGTGGGGGCAAGAGTAGCCCAGTGATCTCAGCAAAATCATGGTTGGTTGGTCCTCAGGGGTGTGCATTCCTGCCTGCAGACCCTGCCTCAGACCCATGGATGCATTTCCTGACATCTGCCAGAATGCTATGTGGTAAGCCACATGGCAGTTTCCCACAATCCCACAGGGTACATGGTACAGAGAGGCATCTTCCAGCCATACATGGTGTGGTGGGTTTAGGGTTTTTGCTCATGCAGACAGAAAAGGACAGTAAGGTTAGAGTCAGATTTTTAAAAAGTGCCTCTAAACAGTTCAGTGTTTTTAAAAATATACATTGGCCTGGGAGAGAAAAAGAAAGAACATATACAGTTATATATCTAAAAATATATTTTATAATAGTATAATAAAGTCCTTAAATGGAGAGTAAAGTAATACAAAATTAAAAAGCCACATAATAGTGGAAGGTATGCAGAGAGTCTGGATATTGTATGTTACTGTGTTGTCTTTGAATTTTTGACTTCAGAGGAAGGAGCAAGAGCTGCTAAGAGACATTTTGTTGTAAATGCTGCTGAATTAAACCAATCTATATATAATTTTAAAATGTCTTGACTTTAAAATGGTGGTCTAAAATATGTTACTTTGTTAAAGGTTCTGCTTTTATTTCCAAAGAAAATAAAAGACTGTGAAGTTGTTCAAAGTTAAAAAAAATCAGGTTTTATAGAGGAAGATCCCCACCCTGTAACATTAGAAAAATAAACCTGGAAGAACTGCAAGATACAAGATGTATATTTTACCTGCTTCAACACATAACAAGAAACCATCTTTGGTTGACTTGTATACGATACATAGTCTGCACTTGTACTAATGCAGATATGTATGTTACCCTTAAAAGCTTATGTATTTTTCAGGGCAAGGGATTGAGACACTAGTAAAAATGGGTGGCCCAGGTGATCCAGCATCAAGAATATCTTCCAAGCTGCTGACTGAGATGATCCAACCTCATAGGATACTATAGACAAAACTTATTAAAAATTATCCTAAATTTTCTCAGGGTCCAAAGATTTCTAGCCCCCCCAAAAACAACAAGAAGTAGTCTAGAGAGCTGTGTCTACATCCCAAAAAAATGAATGATGGATGTTTGTCTTTGTTTTCAAGGGTGGTTTCAAATTATTATTGGTCATGGAAAAAAAACTAACCAAATGAGCTAGATTCAAAGATCTTTTTGTAAAGGAAGAAGTGAGGATAGGATATAGAAATGATAAAATGAAATGTAGATTATTAAATCTACTTTAATCCAAAAACAATTATTAATCTTAAATATTTTACATTGGTTTGGATTTTGGCTTACTGATTCAAATTTAAAGTTAACTTTGATATACTGTTTACTTTTGTTTGGGGTATTGTGATTACACAGCTCACGTAAGATTGTTTTTAATTTAAATAAAAATTTATTTTGAAAAATGAAAAGTCAAATTTTAGAATTAAATAAAAAGAAATGAGTTAACAAACCATGAGCCACATGGAAATATATAGATTAATAGAAATGGGTTAACTTGAATATAAGAGTTAGCTAATAACAAACCTGAGCTCTCAGCCAAGAATTGAAATTAATATAAGTTTCTTTGTATTTGTTCAGGCCTGGGTGGTCAGGATATGAAAACTCCACCTGCAGGTACTTATGAATTTAGGTGTGTGTGTGTGTGTGTGTGTGTGTGTGTGTG